AGGAGAGGGTTGTTTCCCGGGCCCCAGAGTGGTACATTCCCGGACGGGGCATCCAGGGTAGGAGTGAATGGCACCAGAGAGAATTAGACCCAGGGACGGGATGGACCTTTCCGGTGTTACGGAGACCCGGCGAGAGTGAATGTGTCCGAGGTGAGTTCACCCCGGGCCCGGCGTGGGGCAATCCCGACGCGCATTCCCGGCGTGAATGATGTGCCCCCCGGTTAAGTTGACTCCGGGGCCGGCGTGTGCATTTCCGGCGTGCGGAGCCCGGGCGTGAGTAGATGTGCCCCCGGGTGGGTCACCCCCGGGACAGCGTGTGCATTCCGACGTGCGGAGCCCGGCGTGAGTGATGTGCCCCGGGTGGGTCACCCCGGGGCGGCGTGTGCATTCCGGCGTGCGGAGCCCGGCGTGAGTGATGTGGCCCGGGTGAGTCGCTCCGGGCCGGCGAGTGCATTCCGGCGCGCATCCCGGCGTGAGTGATGTGCCCCGGGTGAGTCGCTCCGGGCCGGCGGGTGCATTCCGGCGCGCATCCCGGCGTGAGTGATGTGCCCCGGGTGAGTCGCTCCGGGCCGGCGTGTGCATTCCGGCGTGCGGAGCCCGGCGTGAGTGATCTGCCCCGGGCCGGCCAGCGGTATGATGCGCCCGAGGTATGTATGGCTCGACCCTTTTATTTCCCTTGCTCCAGCCTCGATGTCCCACATTTTCGCCCACTTAGCCGGAAAATCCTTGCCGACTTCTGCGGGCCGGTCGGCCCAGTTTTGCAGTTCCCATATAAAATCACCCCCCCCGCGTTGTTTTTTAGGACCACGAGCACAGAATCGCACAATAGCATCCCACCTTGATCCGGTAGGTATATGTAGACGGAAAGCCAGGCGGCTTCAACCCCGCAGACGGGTTTGGTTCGTGAACTGGTTGCTCGGTCGGCCCCGGCCGTGAACCTCGCGAAACTCCCCAGCGGCGGTGTAGAAGCCCACGCTTGCCCTCGTTTCCATGTCGGATAGAGCCTTCCATGCGCGGTTAAGGGTGCCATCGGATGAACCCGATGGGCCCTTCAACCCCCGGTGGGCTCGAGCATCCGCGGCATCGCCTCGGGTGTCGGAACCCCGGAGTCCCTTGTCGACTCCGGTTCCGGTTGGGGTCTGTCGACTGTTGGCCGCTGGCGAACATTTCTGATCAGATTCCTGGGGGCAATCCGGGTCCGGAAGCCGCTGTGCGTCAGAGTGTCCGGGGCCGAGCTCCTCCCCCCGCGGGACCGATACAGGCAGACGGAGCTCCCCCTTTCTGGGTCGAGAAGTCCCTATCTGCCGCGGACCGTCCTCTTGAGATTTCCCC